GTATGACCACTTGACATTTATTTAGTGCTTATTTTAGGACATGATCAGCAATATCTTCATTTCCAAGTGGGCAGGTTTTAAAAAACATAATAATCAGAATGTGGCTAACTTTTAAAATTATTCATCATACAGAGAAATACCCAAAGCTACAAATTTAAATCTCATAAAAGTTAATCAAATTTGGTAGTACATAGATTTACTCAGCATCTGAATTTCATAAACCTTGAAAACTTTGACATTTAAAAAATGTTGGAGGAGTTTGTCTTCCCATCCTTGAAAGGCACGTATTTTCTTAGACCACTTGGGAAGACAGTAGCACAGAAGAGTTTGTAGATGCCCCCCAGATATCCCCAACTGCTTTTCCGTCAGAAATAAACTTGTTGTAGTCACAGTGTGTTAGATAAGCAGAAGCCGAGCACGTCTCCATTGTCGTACATGGGAAACAGAACGCCGCAGTCATCACCGAAGAGCTGATTCACGATGTGTGGCTGGATCTTCGTGTTGAGGATTAGTGAATGGTATTTTCAGTTTCCCAAGGAGAACAAACTTCCACCTCGAGTGATTCTCCCAATTGTTATTGTTCAACTGTTTTCTCTGTTCTCTCTTTTTCTGCTCATTCTTAGATAATCGACAAATACTATCTGGATCCTGTGGGTTTCACTTTCTTTTCTGACTGAAGCTGACAGTGGCTGTGGTCCTGGAGCAAATGGTTTCCAACAGAGTATTTACTCTCTGTGCATACATGTTCAAAAGCCAACTAAACGTGTTTGATTAATTTATCACAAGGAGTGCTACCTTGAATCAGAACAATTTTACTCTGGAAAATTCTCTCTGTTCAGAAGAAGGCCCTCATTTCTAAGAGCAGAGCTCTGATTTTAATTAAATAAAGAGCATTTTGTGCAGTTTTTTTCCTAAAGCTTAAGACTAATTTCTATGGTTACTAGGGATATAAATCTCTAGATCTCCTTAAAACAAAGATTTTTGTTCAGGAGAGAGTTGACAGCACCCTTTAAGAAAAGCTATTACTTAATTTTACTTTCCTAAGTTTAAACACATAAAAATATTTGTAATGATACCCCAAAGGCATCATAAAAATGTAAAATAATTATACTCTAAAACAGCTAAAATTACAGGAAATAGACCTCATTTTAAAAAATGAACTGGGATTCGTGGCTGGGGAGTTAGGGTGTGACATACTTCAAAACCAGAATCTCTTGTCAGACCTTTTTTTAAAAAAAAATGGTTAGAAAAAATCTTTTCTGTTGTCAATCATGCAGACTTTAAAATACATTCCATTAGGAAATATTTCTTTTTAGTTTCATTACCTTCAACTTGTTTTACTGTATGAAGGTCTTAAATCCCCTGGGAGAGACAAATTTCTGTCTCTAGAATTAGATAGAATCACAGAGTGGATTAACAGTATCACAGATACCCTTTGGACTGCTTTAAATATTATTTTTTAAAAGTCCATAGCCCAGTCTTTTAAGCAGCATAAATAGCTCCCAGTGTTTCACTTATTCAAAGTATACTTCCTCTTTCGGTAGATGATGTTAACTGGTAAATTGTTCCCAGGTTAAAAGTTTGTCATATTTTAATAAATGTAGTACAAAAATCTGTAGTACAGACACCTCAAGGAAAAACCCTCAATTCTTTAAATAAATGAAATTAATACTTGTCCTCTTTCCCAAATTAGTGTCACGGTATTTCTTTTGCATTCTTACTTACTAAAATTTTTATCGGGCCTTATGTAATAATAAATCCTCATTTTATTAGGAAAAGCAAAATTATGCTTATAAAATATTCAGGCTGAAATTTTGAAAGAAATGGCATTTTATATGTGACATGAATGCCACTGAGACTAGATGTGCTTGTAGTTAAAACGTGCCTGGCCCATGAATGCTTTGCATTTAATGAGTTTATATTTTAGGAGCAAAATTAGGAAAAAGAAAAGTACTTTCCCTCCTTTTTTTTTTTTAAGAGACAAGAAAATTAAGTTGAATGTAGATATTGAAAGTGCTGTAAGCTGAATGTTTGAACAACAAAAGTAAACACTGATTATTGCAAATGTACATTTGGACCAGTTTGCTTTTATCTTTCAAGCGAAACATTTCCCACAGTTTTTGTGGGTTTTTATTTAAGTTGAGAAAACTTTGGAAGTTTGTGTGAACGTATAAATAAGTTTTGGAAAGTCATGATTAGAGTGTGATAATAAACATGCAAAAGCAAATTGGAAAACTCTATTAAAGTCAGATGTAACATTTAATAATGTTTTCTCTAAAAACTTATTCTCGGAAAAAGGAACAGTGATTTATATGGATCTGGAACAAAGACTTTGGCTATAATTTCAAATAAAAGCTAAATATGAATTTTTCAATGTGGATGAAGTTTTTTTCTTTTTAGAGAGAGCTTTATTGCTTGTTATAGTTGTCTCCAAAATGACATTTTCCAATTATGAGCACAGAATCCATTGAAAAGACAAAATACTTAGTTTCCAGTAAAATTAACTTTTTTTTTTTGTTTATAAAATAAGCATATATGGAGCATCTCTGTTTTTTAAGAAGGAATAATATTTTAGTATTTTTTAAATTACTGAAATGTACCACAATTAGGATATAGATAAAATCAAAATTTAAAAACCTTAATCTGAAATTTGTTATAAGATTAAACTCATAGTAACAAATTGGCATTTTTTGGTTCAGTTGCTTATCCTGCAATTCTTGGGGAGATTTGTGTTTTCTACTGTAGTAATTACAGAGAATATAAGAGCCTGTCACTTTGCCAGTTGTTACACATAGGCATTTTGAAGTAGTAGCAGTGGCCACTTTTGATCAGATACTATTGTAAAGCTTCTTTTTTTCTTTTGGAAGAGGGGGGTACCGGGGATTGAACTCGGGTCCTTGCACTTGCGAGGCAGGCGACAGAACCACTGAGCTAAATCCCCAGCCCTATTTTAAAGCTTCTAAAGGATTTCTTAAACATTGTAAAGATTTCCTTTCTCTTCTTCCATATACAGCTGGGTATGTCCCTTAAAAGTATATGTGCATTTGTTATTGAGGATCAGATAGTCTTATATTTCAATGGCAATTTTATTGCTTACAAATTGACATGATTTTCAGTGAAATTTGTTGCTGCAATAATAAGAATGAAAATATATGTGGGGTATTCTGAAAAACTAGTCAAGGGAATTTAAATCATAAATGCTAGTTTGACTTTTAAAGCTTTCATACTGAATTTTTAATATACACTTCTAATATAGGCCCTAAAATATTTTGTGTCCAAGTAAAATAATAACTCTCAAAAGTAGAGTGAAAATATATAATTTGATTTTCAAAATCAAGATCTATAATATACTACTCAGGACAGAACCGTTATTTTTCTAGTTGTTTTTAATCCAGAGATTTTTTTTTCTAGCAAATGTTATATGAGGAACAAGTTATCATATGCTAATTTTGAACACTTAAACAGTTTTTATCAGAGAAGTCTTCATTTTGTAAAGTTTAGGAGTTGTTAATTTGCTACAGTTTCTTTAAATTCTAGAAACTGTTAAGTTTTATATTTTCATTTTTTTCAGTCAAAGTACTGTATTTTAGAATGTTTTGTAACTTATTTTTCAAATAGTATTTTCTGCATTTTTGTGTGTGTGTGTACCAATGTACTTTTAAGTTTCTTGCCTTACTCCAAAAGAGGCCGTAATGAGGGGGAAGGAATCTGTAATTTCTGAGGACAGGAATGATGAAACTGGACCCTGGCTCTTTGCTTGGAATCTGCACGTTCGTGTCTCTGGTTGAGGCAGCGCGCTGCGCGTTTTATTCCCGTTCACTCGGCTGGAAGATTACTGAGGAGGCAGGCTGTGTGTCTCGTTACCGAATCCTTTTCTCAGAGCTTCTCGTTCAAATGAACATTCATTCTTTTGCTTTTGTTTTTACTAAGAGAAAAAATAGGTTTGACTAGAGGAAAACACCGCTACTTTGGGGGTTTGAGCGTTGTCAACACAGTGTTTTCTGCTGAGTGTAAAGTATTGGCATCCGTCAGCAGTATAGAGGTTGACTGTCTCCTCCCTTTGTACTGCTCGCAGTTGCTTTTGCTGTTCTCTGGCTGATGTGAAGCAGAAACTGAACGAGGTAACAGTCTTGATGGTGAGATTAGAGGTAGCCAGGCAGACTGTCTCCTGGCTTTTAGAGACCCTTATAAGCTCGGGCCACCCCTCCCTTGTTTAGATATTACTTGCTCTTTTGAGTTTCAGATTACAGGAGCAATTGATCTGCATGACCTATCTTAAGAACTTTAACTTTGCAGTGGAAACTTAAACCAAATGTATATCCTCAAGAGACAAATCATCTTAAACCCAGGCTGTTGTCATTTTAATGTACTGTAAGGTTGGCTGCGGGACAATGTGGTAGAGAGCACCACCTTGTGGAAAAGACCTGTACTTGCTGTGCTGGGCGGAAAATTAGATAATCTACATTAGTAAAATTCTTGCCCTTGGCTTGCAAAGAAGCAAATTTTTGTATTGTTTCTAGCACATAATTTTAATTTAACCCAGCGCTACAATTCCAGGAGGATGAGATTGGGAGCCGTCATGATATGTCAGTTTTATTTGTGCTTTTCCCGCTGATGCTGTGTTACATTTCCTCATTAGAGCTGACACGATTCAAAGAAAAAACTTTTCATGTCAGGGAGGCTGCGCTCAGTCTGTGGGCTTCATATTTTTGAGTGTGTGTGTTTAACTTCAGTAGAGGCCTGTTTGTTGCCACAGTTTATTCTGTCCTGCTAATCTGGTGACTCAAGAGTGAGAGTTGCTGCTGATTCTGAGCTGTGGTCAGAACTATTGGCTGCCAGTTACCAAGAGCATGTGCTTTGCAAAAACTCTGTGAAAAAACTGTCATATTAGAAAAACAAGTCATTCACATCTTGTAGCCACCAGTTTTTAGGGATAGCTGCTCCTTAATATTTATTTTAGAGTGATAAATCCTTCACAGACTGTGTCACTCATTCCTTTGTTGAATGCTCCTAGACACTTGTTGAGCTAGGAATTATACCAAGTTTGGGAAATCCAAAATGAAGAAGGCTCAGGTTTGGGCTTTTTAGGGAGGAGGCTTATAATTTTTAAAAGTCTCATCATTCTTCACCAAAAAGGGAGTAAACATTTCTGGGATGTGGAATGCGCTATAATGGAGTATAGCTGTGCTTGTGTGCTTAGTATTTTCTGTGTATTGGAGGAATTTAGAAGGCAGGTCGCAAATCCTCTGATGAGACTGATAAGCAGAGCTGATGTCTGGCTCTCCTGTGTCGGGGTGTGGGAGGTAGTGGAAGGGTGTGGGATGCCTCCTCCTTCCTCTAGTCCTTCAGCCCATGTTTACCCTCGGAGTTCCGTGCGGTTGGAAGCACACAGTGAGGAACCAAATAGCAAGTCTGCAGTCTGTCTGGAATCTGTTCCGGAGTGTGGGCCCCAGGTTCCAGTCTGTTCGCTGTATGACCTTGAGTGAGTGTCCTCACCTGCTTACTCATCATTGTGAGGACAGTAGGAGATCGTGGACACATGGATTTAACGCAGTCCCTGGGACAGTAAACACCAGGTGAGTGTGATTTACAATGATGACGATGATTGGGAAGCCCTCTTTCTCCCGTCTTTTCTGCCTGGGTGGTTTCCACGTGCTCTCCATCTTTCCCTACCTCGTGGGCTCCAGCACCCATACCCTCCCTTAGTGCCAGCTTGGCTTTCCCTGGCACTCGGACTCCACCAGCTCCTGCAGGTGCAGAGCTGCCACGTCCTCCCTACCACAAGTCACGTTGACGAGTCGGTGCGCCCTCCTGTGTGTGCATGTGCGTGTGTGTGTGTGTGTGTGTGTGTGTGTTTTACCACACTGAGATCAGAAGTTCTTAACCTGAGCACCAGTAAGCTAGGAGGCTCAAGCTCAGAGGGGTTAGGCAGAAAGATTTTCTGTCAGTGTGGATGTTCTCTGTCTCTTTTGTTTTCCTTTTGGGGGGCTGGGTGGGAGGGAAGAAATCAGATTCGTAGCTTTTATCAGCTTCTCAGAAGCATCTGTGCCCCATGAAAAGGTCAGGGACTATACTTTAGATGTTTCTAGCTTTCTGTAGGGCCACTCGAGAAGCTAAAAATAAAGCCCCCTGCTGGAAAGCGAACTCAAGTTTGAATTGTATACTACTTGTTTTTTAAGAAACAATTTTAATTTGATGGGCTAAAATAAATGGTATGGTTTTTCCCTGTTAAAGTTCTGTGGAATATTAGGAACAAGGAAAAGTAAAGAATGCAGGCTCCCGGGACGACTTTAATTTCAAACACAGCTCTCCCACTTCTGAGTTAGCTCGCTTTCTCTCGTCCTTCAGATAGGAGCAGTGAAGGTGCCTACTTCACAGGGTTGTGATGAGAGTTAGATCAAGTGCTCCACTCAGAAGCTCTTGAAGCCCTTCCTGGTGTACAGTAAGCATGACAGAAGTGTTGGCTGCCGTCATTTTATTGCATATTCACCCCCACGGTACCTAAAATACATCCAAAAGTTGCCTTTTACAGACTGTCAAAGTTCTTCTTTTAGTGTGTTTTTTCTACACCTTATGAACAATTATAAATATTTCTCATTTCTTCTGACCAGATCTTCCAGGGTACCATAGCTGAATTCCCATAGGCCAGGTAACCTTTGTAAATGAGAATCTCAAGGACAGCAAACCTAAAAATCATGCTGGAAACTTCCAAAGGCACAAACAGCAGGGTAAAGAAACCAGCTTTCTTTGTAGAGCTTTCAACTTGATTGCACATCGGTAATCACCTTGGAATTTCTGGATGAAAGGACCTTGGACATCTTCCTGCCTTGCCTTTACAGCTTGCAGATAGTCTGGGCCTGGAGCCATGACTGAGGTGCTCCTGGATGTGGTGTCAGCTCCCTGACTGCATGCAACTTCCTGCTTTCAGGGGGAGAAGGGATGGAGCCACCGTGGAGGTCAGGTCTGAGCGGAGGCCCCAGAGGAAGTGTGTGATGAACCACAGAGTGTTCTGAGGAGGAGAACATTGGTGCCAGAAGAAGAAAGGCACTAGGAGCAGGAGAGAGGCGCTCAAGCACACACTAGGCAGGGCAATCTGGGGCGCAGCCTTGGAAATTCACCTGGCTGAGGTTGATTGTGTGCTTAGGAGAGGAGAAGCACCTGTCCCAGCATACCTGTGTGCACTCAGTGAGCGTGTGCTGTGCTGTGCTGTGCTGTGCTGTGCTGTGGGGGATGGGTGCCACGGGGCTTGAGGACTCCCTATCCCCTGGCTGGCATTGTTGCCTCCAGGGCGTCTTCTGGTAAGGGTGTCTCACCTCCCTGCCTGGCACCCTAGTGTCTAAGATTATGCCTTTTGCCCTCTTCATGGCTCCTAAATGCAAACCAGCCCCTTCCTCTGACGCACAACGGAAGAATCAGCGGTCTGGTCCTACTCAAGGAGAGAGGAGCTGCTTTGAACTCCAGGTGCCAGTTGAGTTGTGCGTGCTGCTGTTCACCCGACCCTCTGTTAGCTAAAACCCTGGGAGGCTCTTGCTTTGGACTGAGCTCCTGCACTAGTTCTGGTCCCAGCCGCACAGACCAAACCAAGAAGAAATCACTTGTGCTAAAGGCCACAGAGGCAATCTGAAACTTTAAGGCAGACAAAATTTTCTTAAATATAGGAGATTCCAGGCTACCGGCGTCAGCATTACAAGGAAGTCCCCTCTGCTTCAACCTGGACAACAAGCAGTAACCCGAAGTATCCTGATGTTGACCAGTCAGGGTGTATGTGTTTGCCTGTGTTTAACTGTGCTGTTCTCTTGTCCTTACCTTATAAAACTCACTGTCTTTTGCCCAGTGAGCACTCTCATTGTATTTAGCAGAATGGAAGCTGCCTCTTTATGAAAGGGAAATAAAATTGGTTCTGTGAATAAATTTGCATCATTTTGACAGCTGTCACTGAACAGGTCAGTTTGCCAGATGGCCTCCTGAGACTGAGATAGACAGGAGGGGAAAGAGGAGGAGGAGAAAACTTAGGGTTGCTGGGTACCTGCCCTGTGCCAGTGCAGTGTCAGTCTTTACAGATGTCATCTTCGTGAGTAGCTTGGAGTCACTCTCAGTGGTGCTGCTGTCTCGGGTTCACACCTGAGGGATGAAGGCGTGAAGAGGCTGAGCGGCAGGCACAGGGCAGCAGCAGAGCCAGGCACTGAGCCTGGGAAGAGTGCGACACGCTCGCCCTCTCTCCACACAGCCTTGGAACTGGCAGGCTTGGCACTGGGTCTGAGCAGCCGAGAGGCCACGTCAGATCCTTGCATCAGACCCTTGGCTTGGCACTGTCTGTCCTGTCTCCCTCCTCCTCCTCTCTTCTTCCCTTCACCTCCTCCCTTAATGTGACTGGCCCGAAGCAGGCCTTACGTATTTGCCAAGTGGACAAATGCAAGAAAGGCTTCCAGGAACACAGAAAAGAAAGTAGTTACTGTTGACCAGCACAGTCCTGAAGCCTCAGCCTGTCCTCCCGGTCCTGGAAGGCAGCACTTGGCAAAGTCTCTCTGTGATGTTTTTGTGAAGAAACATTTTTTTAAATGGATGCTTAGGGCGTCTGTGACTAATTGAGCTGATTGTCAGCAGGAAGAGCTCTATAGGTCCAAGCTTCTTTTTTCTACTCCATTTTTATTGATAATTTTAAATTACAGATGTCTTTAATGGCAAAACAGTCAGAGTTGACAATGACAAGAGTCCAGGAAAAAATAGACACATAACGAAGACCTGGTTTATCTGTAGCATGCCTGGAAAAAGTCCTGTTAGTTGAGGTGAAGTTCCCGACTCAGGGACATGCAGCTGCAGCTGCTCTGAGGTGACCTTGGTAAAAGGCTGGGACTGGAACAAGGGAGGTGATGCTTCCGGCTGGGTATTGAGTTCACTCGGGGAACCTCAGTTGACGACAACTGTGAGGCCCAGGAAGTGCACGTGCAGAGGGGATGAGCATGGCCAGGAGCGCCCAGTGTGTTTCACTGAAGAACCCTCGACAGGGCTGGGAGTGTTTGGCTTAGAGAAGGCAGAAGACTCAGAGACTCAGGTGGGGGAACACAGTAGCTGAACTCAACTCACTTAACCTTGCGGGGCATCTGGGGTGGAAGCCATGGCCTCACACATCCTAGGTGAGTGCTCTACCACTGTGTTACATCCCCAGCTCTTTGACCTTGATTCAGAGTGAATAGAACTGTGGACTGAACTGGAATAAGGCCTGAGAGAGACAGTGGGCTCTTTGTGCAAGGCAGGTGTCTGCTGGTGCCTTGCTGGTCCTGAGAGTCGAGGCAGGGCATAGTCGGTTACTGGCTTGATGCTCTGCACCATCTGATCAGATAAACCAGCAGTGGGCAGAGCTTAGGAAATAGAGGGAGTGTGTTGAGCAGTGCCAAGTCAGTGCCGTGTGGAGAGAGAAGAATGGAGTGAGAGGGTTTAATTAGAGGAAAGTATCAAAGAGAAAGTTGGACCCCGAAGGAGCGGGGAGGAAGGGCTGAGTACACAGTAGGCATTTGCCTTTTCTTCAGCATAAAGAACCCTGGGTCAGTCTACAGTGGAAGGAAGGTGTGTTGGGATTGTGGGAAGTTGAAGCCCTTGCTAAGGGACAGGCTGCAGTCTGGCACACGGCCAAGCGGGCACAGCAAGGACACATGTCACAAGGAGAGTGGACAGGTGGGACCGGCCACCAGATTCCTCCGTGGGTGAAAGAGAAGGAAGTGAAAATGGCTGGTGAGTTACTTGACTTGGAGGATCCAGAGAGAGGATCAGGCTTTGTCTTTGGGCAGTGGGGACGGAGGGAGCAGGAGTTGGAGTGCAGTGTGCCTGGCAGCCTTGGGAGCACCAGTGACGTATGCAGTGGTGTGCTGGAACACAGCCAGGCTGGGGCTAGTGGGCGTTTTATGGAGGCGGATAGAGCTGTGGATTGGAAGGAGTGGGCTCACCAAGGAGGTGTCAAGGGCCAAGGGATGAAGTCTGGAGGAGTGAGTTTCAGGGTTAGCACAGGCAAAGGAAGCAGAAAAAAAAGCTGTCAAAGGCTTAACAAAGCCACCGACGGAGGAGAGCCCCGAGTCCCTGGGTGGGGTGGGAGCAGCAGGAGCTTGCAAGGACTAGAACCAGGCTGGCCGGAAGCTGAGGGGACTGCACTTCCTCAGACCCTGTGTTCACTCAGGGCATCTTTCAGTAGGAATTGGGGGAACATGAGAGACAGGCCTAGCCCGTAGGCCATTGCTTACAACGCAACGGCCCAAAGAAGAGAACAAGAAAGGAGTGGTTCATATATTAGCTCCTAACAAAGGGGCAGAGCACAGTGGAATGTCTGTGGGCCTGCCAGGCCCTTTGTGGGTGACTTGTCCCAGGGAGTTGTCTTGCACCGGGACAGGATTAGATATCCCGCACTGTGACTCCAGCAGGGGCCAGGCGTGCCTTAGTTTTGAACTTTTAATTAAGACTTTTAGTAATTGGTATTGATGCATTTTTCAATTAAGACTGAAGAGAATGGATTCAGAATTTAGTTAGTGGACTCCAAATTAAACTCTGGAACATGATCCTTGTGAAAAATCATTTTAGCTTATCAGTA